CTTCCTCGTCTTCTGTCAAGAAGAAAATGGTGTCGTCGGCAAATTGGAGATGAGATATCTCCACCTTTTCTTGGCCGATACACAAGCCTTTGATGAGATCAGTTTCTTGTGCCTTCTCCATTAACCTGCTCAGAACATCGACTACTAAGGTGAAAAGAAATGGTGACAGTGGATCGCCTTGTCTCAAACCTCTTGAAGCTTGAAATTTTCCCCTTGGCCTTCCATTGATCAAAACGGAGAAATTTGCAGAGCTTAAACATCCTTGCATCCATTTCCTCCATCTATTGCCAAAACCTTTTCTTTGTAGTACTTCTTCCAGAAATCTCCATTCCACATGATCATACGCTTTTTCAAAGTCGATCTTAAGCACCAATCCCTTCTCTTTTTTCTGCCTCACCTCTTCTACCACTTCATTTGCAATGAGGACAGCATCCAAAATTTGTCTATCTTTGACAAACGCCCCCTGATTCGGAGAGATAGTGTTATCCAAAACCTCCTTCAATCTTGAAGCCAGTGTTTTGGCTATAATTTTATGCAATCCAGTGACTAAACTTATGGGCCTATAGTCCGTCACTTTTAAAGAATCTGATTTCTTCGGGATAAGGCAAATAAAAGTCTCGTTCGTCACTGCATTTATTATCCCTTTCTCAAAAAACTCCTCCATGATCTTCATTATATCCTTCTTCAAAATATCCCAGCAATGTTGAAACATTTGCATAGAGAAGCCATCTGGACCTGGTGATTTATCCTTTCCGCAATCGAAAACTGCTCTTTGAACTTCTATTTCCTCAAAAGGCCTCTCAAGCCAACTTGCCTGAAGGGCGCTTATTGGAGCCCAATTTATCCCTTCCAACCCCTAACAAATAACAAATAAATCTTCAGATGTACTATCATGATTTTTATCTCTATGCCTCATTTCATAATTCATCAAGGCATTTGACACATCTTCAAATTTCACAGTTTCTTTACCATGCATAATAGTGGTAACAAAATGCTCATAAGAGTCCGGCAAGGAATTCAACAATATTAAGGCCTTATCTTCATCCTTAATATCCTCATCTAAATTTAACAAGTCGGCAATCAACTTATTAAAAGCATCAAGGTGTCTAATCATTTTTGTACCTTCTTTGTATTGGAAGCGGTAGAGCTTTTTCTTCAAGTGTAGTCGGTTCTCTGCACTCTTCGTCATATACTTGTCTTCCAATTTTTGCCACAACACACTTGCTACCGTCTCCCGCATCACAAAATACTTCTGAGTTTTTGCAAGGCACAACCGAATTGAAGAGCAAGCCCATAAATTTAATTTCTCCCATTCCGGCTTCGACATAGCTTCCGGCTTCTCTCGCAAAGCGGCAAGTAGATCTTGTTGAGCCAACACATCTTTGACCTCACATAGAGTTTTGTTTGAATGCCATCATTTTCACAGCCTCTTATACACCTTTGATTCAAACTTCATCATTCTTTAAATATATATTATGCTCACACGTTTTGTAATCCCGCAGCAACGCGTGGGCACTATTTCTAGTGCACTCTAAAACTCAGTCCAGGTCTGAGTACTCTAAATCCCAGTCCTAGTTCTAGTCGAAGAACAGTCCCATTCCGATATGGACTCTAAAGCTCAGTCCTAATTCTAGTCTAGTTCTGATTATACCTTATGTTTCTGTATTACTCTTCCGACACGGATTCATGTTGTTTGAGATTACAAACTATCGTCTACCAAAAAAACTACTAAATTTTCAAGAATCCATAAATGAAATCATAAAAAAAAAAATACCAGAACACTGCTTTTTGTGTGAAACTTCCGCCGCCACCACCAATTTCCTCTTAGTCATTAACCTTGTTCTTGCGAGACGGAATCCGCGGGCGCCGGAGGAAAAGCAGAATGTGATACTGGGTTCTTGCGAGCAGTTCCTTCCGAGGGAGGGAAGGTTCTTCCGAGGAAGGCTGCCGGGGCGATGGAGAAAATGGGATGCTGGGTTCTTGCGAGAGGAAGGTGTCGGGGCGCCGGCGACGGAATCCATCAGAATTGGCGACGGAGGAAAATGTGACACGGAAAATGGGCTATGGTGAAGCCGAAAGGAAGATTTATAAAAAATCTTTCAAATTAGCTATGGCTAAGCACCGATCGGGCTGATTGGACCGAACCAGATCCGGATTTAAAGGAACCGGACCGGGCCGGTCGGCAGGTACATGGTCTTATTTATTTATTTATTTTTTTCTGGGAACAGCAGCTACACAGATTCACCTGAACTGGCGGCGGCGGTGATGTCGTCGAGGAGGAGAGAAGGAGAATCGGGCGCCACCTGCAATAATGGCCGCATCTACAAGCTCTCCAGCACCAACCTCTCCCTCCGCGGCTCCATCTCCCCCTTCATCACCAACTGCTCTGCACCAACCTCCAGGCCCTTAACCTCTCCTCCAACTTGCTCGCCGGTCCCATCCCCTCCGACCTCCAGTACCTCGTCAAGCTCGCCGTCCTCAAACCTCTCCTCCAACAAATTATCCGGTCCCATTCTACCGCAGCTCATATTGTGCGCCTACCTCAACGTCATCGACCTCCACGACAATTCCTTCACTGGCCCCATCCCCCAGCAATTGGGCCTCCTCGTCCGCCTCTCTGCCTCTCCTCCAACCATAACAAGAATTCCAGTTGATTGGCAGTCTTCCCCTACTTTAAACATACTTGAAATCTTCTGGTCAATGATCAGAACTCCAGCATCTCAAATTCAACAAACAATTTCTCAGGGTTTGTAGCAAATTGAGGGAAGAAATATCCTTTGTCAATCTCCAATTAGGGATGGGCAAAATTAACCGCGGTTATCCGCCCATTTAAAGTTGATGGTTATGGTTATGGGTAACCGTTTAAACAAATAAACGGTTATGGATATATCCGTTTATCCATGAAATTTAAATGGGCGGTTATGGGTATTATCCGCGGTTATAACGGGTATCCATCAGTTATGGGTAATATTCATGGTTATAACGGGTATCCATTTACCCATTTAATTTAATATATGTAAAATTAAAAAAAAATTAAAACCCCTCAGAGACTCAGAGTTACAACTCCGTCACTCTCTTTCTCCGCCTCTCGACTTCGTCACTCTCTCTCTCCGTCGCTCTCTCTCTCCGTCCATCACTCTCTCTCCCCGTCGCTCTCTCTCCCCGTCGCTCTCTCTCTTCGTCGCTCCCAAACCGACTTGCCCAAACCGACCTGAAAAACCCAGAAGCTAACGGCTATAAAACTAATACGCGGAGTCTCTGTCTGTCTCACCCGCCCTTATTTCTTCCTTCTCCAGCGATCTCAAATCTCTCATCTCTCTCTCTCTCTCTCCCATGCTCTCCCGCTCAACGAATTTCAAGTTTCAAATTTTCAAACCTCTGGTCGTCTGATCTCAAATCTCTAATCGATCAATGGAGTTTCAGCGTTCGTCGTTCTCTTTCCGATCTTCCGACTCCTGGGTCCATGTGACGCTGCAGGGTTCCAATCTCCGGCGGACTCTAAGTCCCAATTTGTCGGCGAGCTTTCTCTCCGTCAATACTAGATTTTTCAGAAACGCTTCCACACCTTTATTCTTGATGAATTTCCACTGGGTCCTGATCGATGCGCTACTCTCCGTCAATACCGTAAGCGATGAGTAAGTTACTCTTCGAGTTGCGCGCTCACTTACGATCTCTCTCCTCTTCCCTCAACCTTGATCCTGCCATCTACGAAGCATTAGCCCCCGGGATCAAATCCATGGCCCGAAAATTGGCAAACCCTAATGGCTCCATGGGCTTTGTTATGGTGGCTACGGTTAAAATCCTGACCATTGAATATGTCGACCAACTGTTTGATGATATGTCCGACTCAATGGCTTTGCTTTCGATTGGTAGTAGTGATGGCGGTTCAACTTCGTCGTCAATTTCATTGGACTTTATGGTTGACAAATTGGGGGCAGAGAGATATTTCGAAAGGGGTGACGGTGACCTGGGTTCTTGCAGTGTGTGTTTAGAGGAATTGTCTGATGGGTTCTTGCAGTGTGTGTTTGTAGTGTGTGTTCGAAACACAGATTTCAATTAGATGAAATTATATGAAATAATAGAGGGTTAACTCAGTTTTGTGATGAATTAGATGAAATTTGGTTGGTTTCGTATGATTGTTTTTTGTTATCAGAAACACAGATTTATGAGTTGTTGCTTTAAAAATCATTCGGGAATTCAGAAATAAAAAAGCTCTACTTTTACTCTTCCTTTAGGCTCAATTTTCTCAGGTTCCTGAACTTCCATAATTTATTGGTTGCTATACAGAATAAAAAAAATTGATTGGTTGCTATACAGAAAAATATCGTCCGTAAACTATTATTTCAATGATTGGAATTATACGAGGACTTAAATGATTAAAATAGGGAAATATATGCTAAAATGTACTTATAACGGTGTTTAATTGTCAAAAAATAAAAATTATGACAAATTTTTCTTTTGTAATTTTCAAATTGTTAAAAAAATAATGTAGACGCGAGAAAAAAAAGGGTAAATGGGTAAAAAAAGGATAAACAGACGAAAAAATGAGTAAACGGGTAAATGGTTATGGTTAAATGGGTAAATGGTTATGGGTAAATGGGTACACGGTTATGGGTATGGATAACCATTTATAAACGGTTATGGGTATGGATAACCGTTTAAAACGGTTATGGTTATGAGTATAATCATTTATGTAATTACCCAACGGGTAAACAGTTATGCGGGTATGAACATAAACGGTTATGGGTAAAATAACCGCGGTACCCACCCGCATAACCATTGCCCATCCCTATCTCGAATCCTTCCACCCCGATGATAGTCTCAAATGAGAAGGGTGACTCAATGGACAGGACACCAACAATCATCCCTAATTTCTACTGCCACCAATTCTTTGCCTAAATATTCCTAAAAGGGAATAAAATCGGAAACACCTAAATCAAAGCAATTACCTAAAATTCATTGAAATAAGATAAAAAGGGAAAAGCCCCAAATCCACCAACCTTAAATTCACTCATTCAGCTGTTGAAGCTCCGCCTTCAACTGCTCAATCTTGAGCCCCATCGACCTCTGCAACGCCGCCTTATTGCTCTCCGGCACCTTAGCCAATAGATCTTCGTACAATTCCAGCACTTCCTTCACGGAATCACGAGCGCACTCGGCCTCCTCATCGAAGTAAACAGTCTCTTTGGACTCCATGGCCATCTCTATCTCCTCCCTCGCCTCTGCAAATTTGAGGTTGATCGTGTCCACCACTTGGTTCTGATCGAACTCATCCGACCCGCCACTGAATTGCCTCACATTCCGACGAGCTGCGAACTGGGTCGCTGAAATCGAGAGAGCTGGGTGGATAAAACGGTGGGAGTTTGTAGCGGGTGTGTTGAGAAGAATGTGGGGTTTCGGCAATGGAGGTGAGTCGGAAACGCGCTGAGCCGGACTCGTCGAGATTGAGTTGAGGGAGAAGAGCTTCGGAGAAGGGTTGGAAAAGTGGCGGAAGAGCAATTTGCAAAGTGCAATTTGTGAACGTTGATGATTCATTGTTGCTCTCCTCTACCGACTTGCAAACCCCCACTCTCAGGTCTATCAACGTAACTAAACCCTATAAACTCTCTCTTCTTCCATCCCGAGTGCACAATATTTGGTACGTTTAGGGATGGTGCAAAGATATATTATATTTTAATAAAATAAAAGGTTTTAGATTCGATTCTCGTCGAAGGCAAATTTAAACCACATTATTACTAGTTCATTATGAGGCTATGCCCACCCCTCTCCTTAGTATAAATAATGTCGTTTGTTAAAAATAAAAAATAAAAAACCCAAATGTACTCTAGAGGGAAAATTTTTAAAAGTAAATTTAGGGGTGTGCTATCTACACACTTTTTTTAGTTCTCACAATCCCTCTCAATTTTCGGTTATTTGATCGAATGAATTACAGAAGATCAAATAACAAAAATTAACAAAAAGTGTGTGGGAAGTAAAATTGATTCTTGGATAGCACCACGCAAAATTTATTGATAGATGATCTGCTGGTTACAAATAATTGCTTTAGATTAGACTATTTCATGCACAGTCGAATTAGCTCACCTACGGATGGGTTCAAAAAATCGAAAATCGAAAAAAATCTGACCAAACACCAAGCCAAATAAAACTAAACCAAACCGAACTCCTTTACAATTTATGGATGTATGCCCATAATATTTCTTTTGTGAAACTTTGTTGCCAAGTTTGAAACTAGCCAAGAGCATACCTGGTTTAATAAGGGAGGATCATTGGTTATAAAGGAAAGTTTTGAAAGGCTTTAAAACTTGGAAGAGCTTCTCTATTTGTTAGCTTTTTAAATGGATATGGTAATCATTTTTCTTTGCAATTGAGGTTGTTAATAAATATGGTCGGTTTATATGAACTTTTATATGTATAACTATCTTCCCACTTTCTTCATTTTCTTGCTATTAGTCTACCAATGCAAAGCCTCTTTTCTAAATTCCATATTAAAACAAAAATCAGGTTTTGTAAAATTAAAAATAAATAAAAAAATAAAAAAAACCGAAACCATACCGAAATAAAAAAAAATATCTAACTAAACCGAACGAAACCGAACCCATCCTAACCTCACCTTGAATTAAACATTATAAGACCAAAAAATTAGATGACCAAACAACTTCAAACTCATTTTAATTTAATGTTTTTCAGAGATGATTTTCAAAGATTGACCTAAAAATAGATGAGTCAAATTATTTAAAAAAAGTTTCAAAATAGAAAAGAGAGTCGAGAGTTAAACAAGAAGGTCCAAATGAAAATTTTGTTAGCATTTCCCTTTATTATATTAATGGACCAATATTATGAATGATTTGCGACTATTTTATACTGTGACTCTGTTTCTAATACTTTTCTTTAATGCACAAAGGCTTGTAAAAAGAAATTCGTAAAATAAAAATAATAATAATAATTATGCTAAGGAGACTTTTTTTAAAAGTGAGATTCTCTATGAACTCTCTGTTACTTTATGTTTTCAGCACAATTATCGTGTCAACATTATAAAACATTGTGCAAAAAACACGAGATGACAGAAAAAGTTTCACTTTCAGAAAGTCTCCTTAACACTTCTTGAAAGCTTTTAATTCGAGTTTGTTACCTAAACTCACCAAAAATGTCAAGAGTGGAGGTCAAAAGATTACCAAAACCACACAAATATATAAACCTCAACAAATCCTCCAATTTCCAACTACTCTTCTCCTCTCCCGTTACCCATTTTCCAAACCATATAAAACTGTGAGACAATAGCATGTCCATACCCAACCTCCATCATGGCTCGCAACCTTCTTTTGACACACTCTCTGCCGAGCACATTTCAAGTCGCCCTAGCCGCGATCACCCTCGCATTTTGTGCCATGGCATTGCTTATGTGTGCTTCTCATTCGCATAGCTGGCGCCGCCGCTGGATTGCTTGCACCGAATTTTTTGACGATGATCCGGTTATCCAACACATTCAGCCTGGAAACTATGATGCAAGTGTGGATAGTGATGAGCAGGAAGAGGACCCGGTCTGGCAGAAGAACATACTCATGGGTGGAAAGTGCCAGCTACCGGATTTTTCGGGTGTCATAATCTACGACGCTGAGGGGAACATCGTCAAGCCTGACAAGACTCCTCGTTTAACCTGGAAGTAAACAAGAACAAAGTGCCAGCGTCCAACTCTGTTTCAAGTTCATGACCGTGCCACCGGAATTTCTTCTCTTCAGTGCCTCCTTTTTCACAGTTTTTCTTTTCTTTCCGTTCAAATTAGTGCCCACTTTCACAAGTTTTAAATCATCTTATGATATCGATTGTATTACGTGATAACTTGTAACACAAATCAGAATTTAACTCGGAAATGAAAAAGTAGAGTCAAGACTCGAGAACCACGGCAAGACTGCCAACAGTTTCTTTAGCAAAGAACTTGAAGACTTAAAGATTACAAAACATTTTATACCTAAAATTTTGACTTCAATCAGCTTGACGCCAACGATTCTCTCTTATTAGACCAAGAAGCCCGACCCCTAAACCCAACAACACTTAACTTCGAGGGTGTTGATTTAACTGTACTGGATCTTCTGCCTTCTGTTTGCCTCTTCTCACTAAAAGATGCTTTTCTCGAGCTGCTTGCATTGGAAGGAGCTTTTCTTGAGTTGCTTGCATTGGAAGGAGCTCTTTTGGAGCTGCTTGCTCTGGAAGGCTTTACTGATTTCGATGACTGAAAAGATGGTTTTGCAGATTTTGCAGGTGCAAATGCTGGCCTGCTCTTGTTTTTCTGATTTGAGACTCTTACCAATTTTCCATTCTGTGGAGTAATTCGCAAGCGGGCAATGTCCCTCTTGACACTATCTACGCTGAGAGATTCTAAGCTTTCATTCTTCTTTATTGCTTCCTCAATTCGGTTTGCTAACATAAGGTTCTTCTTAGCAACCAAACTCGTTACTTTCCCTGCATTACAAGAGTTATTTGATTTCAAGATTATTACACTTAAGCATGAAGTGTAACCAAACAAAGAAATAAAAAATTGATTGTCACAAACTATGAGAATCAATCCAACAAATATTCCATCACTGAGAGATACAGAAATACAGAAAGTCAACAAATGAACGATAATACTACAAAGATGTGGCCTTTCAGAAAGAGGCGGCACTTGCTTTTCACAAGACGTCTGGTTTTTTATTCCTACCCTTTTCCTCTTTGTTGTGTCAAGTAAATGAAAACTAATCTTACAATGGAATACTGTCAATAATTTCTCTTTTATATTTATTCAATATCATGTTAAGATTCCTCATCTGCGGTCGATTCAAAATCTTGTGGATGCCATTAATAGATTCAAGCACAAACAGGACAAAAGACTCACCTAAGTCCGGTACAGATGCGCATTCCTTGTAATTCTAAGAAGGAAACTAAATAAAATTGCAAATAGAAATGCATGTATACCTTTTGCACCCATACGAGCGGTTCTTCCTGTACGATGAAGGTAGTCAATCTAAAATGTCAAAGAAGGGGGAAGGTCAGCTTCCAAAGAAGAAAAAGGAAAGATGTAGAAGTCCTAAATACAATAGCACATTATTTAACACTGAAACACAGAGCAGATATCTGATGCTTACAGAGTTCAAAGGAAAATCAAACATGATAACATGGTCTACATCCAAGTCCAGTCCCCTTGCAGCCAGGTCTGTGCAGACCAATGTAGGGCAATCTCCATCGTTGCTCTTAAACCTTTTGAGGTTCTCAACCCTGTATTACAGTTGTTCGAAGAAAGCAGTGAGGCCAAGCACTAGAATTGAACACTAGTGACATTAATTTAAGCGTTTGTACGGATTTGTGTGCACTTGGGTGTCTGGGCCACACATTCAGGCAAGAAGAAAACTAATCAATGTTCCAGATTCACAGTAAGCTAACATCATCTTATGTTTCCACACCATATAGCAAGAGAAGATATTTCTTTAGATGTACACAGATGCCTTTAACATAAAAAAAGGGGAATCAAAGGAGGAAAATAATAAAAAAAATGAAACCAAAATTCATACAGCTTAAACTTAGATTCGTATTGATAAAAACAACCAAACTCTACCAAAAGAACAAAAGCAACAGATAAAAACCCATGCTTGTAAACAGGAAAAAAAAACAACAGTATGGACTCTTTCCAAAGTGAAAATGTGCAGACATTACAAGTACAAGGGAACGAGAGGTAATATTTTTTATTGTCTCACCTTTGTTCTGCTGGCACCTCACCATGATAATTGACAGTAGAGATCTGGTTTTCATTGAGGAAGTGATCCACAGCACGGCTGGAACTTAATGTGTTACAGAACACCATTACTCTATTTCCCTTTGCTAAGCTTGGCTCCAGAACCTGCGTTTACCACAAAATCCACAAAAGTATTTTCTTGTTAGACCACTGCTATATCAAGCCATGCTCTTTTCATGTAGAAAACCTTCATCAAGTAAGCCAAGATGAAATATATAAAAAACAATAATGATAAAATAACTTCTGGCCTTTTTATCACCAATGGTCTCTGTCCTATTTCAAACTCCTCATTTTCGTCCCTATTCTTTCAATCCGATCAATAGCAACCCTATTTCTTGTATGGCATGCATCAATGTCATCCTTACCATTAATTTCATCCTCTTCCTGTCAAATTGAGGGTAAAATTAGCAAATCAATCCCACCCACAACTTCCCCCTCTTCTCTCTCCTCAATACCTCCACAGAACCCCTCTGTCACCCCAATTCCCTGATTCATTTCAGTTACACCATGGGTTTAGCAGAATAGGAATTTAATTCCTCATCCTTGAAGCTTTCCTTAAGTTCAAACTCATATAATAGCAGTTTCCTAGTCACTATTTTCTTAGAGGTCGCACTTGGTGCGATGGCAAGTGTCTTCGCCCATGAGCGGTAGGTCTCGGGTTCGAGACTTGGGAGCAGCCTCTCCATAAATGGGGGTAAGGCTAGCCGACATTCACCTCTCCCAGACCCTGCGTAAAGCGGGAGCCTTATGCACTGGGTACAACCTTTTTAGTGTTGTTCAGGCATATATACCACCTGGGTCGATGGGGGTGACTCAATCTCCGTGTTACTGGGTGGCACAAAAAAGTGTTATTCTTTCCCTCCACAGACACAGAGTGAAGCTTTTTGAGAAGGGAGGGGTGTGGTGGGAGTTGGGAATTGGGAATACCTTTGCATTCAGATATTTTGAATGAAAGGGCAATCTACAAATGGCTCCAGATGAAGAAGGTGGTCTTAACTCTGATGAAATGAGCGTTTTTACAAAATTGCTACATTAACAGAAAATATGCAGGTGGGGATTTTTCTTCTTTACATGAAATATTTCCCTAAATTTGTGGGGGTAATTGGTTTGGGGTGATCGTAGTCATGGCATCTGCCATGGCATTTGTGGGGGTAATTGAGGAGACAGAAAGAAAGGTGGAAGGACCCTCAATTTTGACAGAAAAATGAATGGAATTAATGGTAAGGATGAAATTGGTCAAATTGAAATAATTGTGACTAAAATGATCAATTTGGAATAGTATAGGAACCATCGGTCATTAAAAAGCCCAATTGCCCGCCAGTTTAAGAAACAACTTAAGCTAGATTAACTTTATGGCCACCGTACATGTTATTCATTATGAGACACAATTACTACTTGACAAGTAAAGCATGAAAAAGAAAAAGGGTATCACAGAATTAGACCTGTAGAAGTGATTCCAGCTTGTTCTCAGAACCTGAAATCTTAACAAAATCATGGCGAGCAGATGCAATCTTCTTATGCAGTGAGGATGTGCGCAAGTGTAATATTCCTTGGAACTCCTCATCGATCAGATTTTGCACTGCCTGAAAAATATCGTAAGGGTCAGGTTTTGCATTTCCACTGACTTCATAAAAGACACAATTTGTACACAAGATATTATCAAGATTACAGTTGTCAAAGGTATAACATTGTCATAAGCAGGCTTCAGAGAATTTCCAACACCTCAACTAAGAGATGTGTTCAACTTCAGAGGATGACTCTTTTATTATGTTTCATGTCTCCATCCCAATAGAAGTGTAAATAAGCCAATCTGAGCTGAGTATCAAGATGCTCAAACATTATTCGAGCTCAAGCTCAAACAAAGCTTGTAGAGCCATGTTCAACCTTGGTTTGGATGATTTTTCAAAAGTTTTAGCTTGGCTCGGCTCATTTGTGGAATGAGCTCAACCTGCGTTGGTTGGCTTGGCTCATTCCTAAATTTAGCCCTTGTTTGGTACCATGATATAGTAAAATTACTTAGTGAAACTTGGTCCTGTAGTAAAAAAAAGTATTGAAACCCAAAAATATCATAAAGAAATACAAATTAGCCAAAGTAGTTATAACACAATGCGGGATTCATTTTTAATGACATGCATTTATGTTTTCTTATGAGAAAAATTACAAAATAAGCAAATAAGCTTTTCAATGAAACAAAGAGTTCCCTTAGTGAAAATGGGGAAGGAACAATTCACTTTCAATTGGTGTCTATTTCTCCAACTTATAAATTTAGCTTCTTGTTAAATAAGAGGCAATGCAAGTAAGCACACCTTTGTCATTGTTGCTGAGACCAAAACAGTTTGGAACCCTTGCCCTCCAGGTTTTGATGCACGATGTTTTAATGGGACTAGAAACTTGCGTATATCTGGACCAAAGCCACGATCAAACATGGTATCTGCCTCATCCAATACCTACAAAGAGATTACTAGAATCACAAAGTGCACTAACAATTTACTAGAATATGTTGTTCTTCATCAAAGATAGTGACAACTTGATATGACCATATTATCTACTAACCAACTTAATGGAAAAAACTAAATAAACGGATAAACATACTAAGTATTTGATGTCACCATAAACCAAGTTGCCATCCTCAATATGTTGGAGAACCCTTCCAGGGGTACCCACTACCATTTCAATTGGGTTATTCAATGAATCCTCCTGAGGTCTCAACCGACCACCACCGCTTACCATAGTAGACCTGAACCTTGCATGGTGACTTACAAACTTGGAAACACGAAAAACCTACAAAACCGACCAGATGTCAATAGAAAATGCATGGTCCACAGGTAGTGGTTCTAAATTCAGAATAAAAATGTATAAAACCTGCTCAGACAGCTCCCTTGTGGGGCATAGCACAACAGCTCTAGGACGCCTGGGCTTCATTTGAATACCATTTTCAGCTTCATCCCTTCTCAACAACTACAAAAATCCCAGAGTATCAGCATTCCTTTGATTAATTCTAATTGCAACATAGGCAAGAGTGGGTAACATCAAAGTAACAAACACATCACAATCGCACACAATTACCATTGTGGTCTTGATAAATAGCTTGCTGAAAGTGTAAGCAGGTAGAATCTAAGCAA